GGACGGCGGCGGTGGAACGGCGGCGGTGGAGCGCCCGCGAAGGAGCGGCGGCGGTGGAGCGTCGGCGGTGGAGCGGCCGCGGTGGGGCGGCGGCAGTGGAACGGCGGCGGTGGAGCGGCGGCGGTGGAGCGGCGGCGGTGGAGCGGCGGCGGTGGAGCGGCGGCGGTGGAGCGGCGGCGGTGGATCGGCGGCGGTGGGCGGCGGCGAACGAGGCGCGGCGCCGAGGCGCCGTTCACAGCGTTCGCGCGTCGCGCGTGTCCGCGGCCGGCGGGGGCAGGCCGGCGGGATGCCAAAGGCATCCAACTGCCATTGCCGCGGTCCTGGGCGGCACTTTTCTCTCTCTCTCAACCTTCATCCTTGGAGCACTTGGAGTGCAGTCATTAGCCTCACATCCAGGGCCGGGGAGCTAAGAAGCGCACCCAGCGGGCCGGATGATCGGGATCGGGTTACGCGCTAGAGAGCCCTAGCCCCGGGGGTGCGCGGTCGCAGGGCCATAACACGTCTCCGAGGGATAGTTCCGTGTACCGGGTTACCCCTTAACTGCAGAACGCACCCTCTTCCTCGACCGTGGGGGGGGGTGCGCGTTCGCAGGGCAAGGGGCCTTAAAGTAAACACGGGTCTCCGAGGGTTGGTTCTGCGCTCCGGGGTTCCCCCAGCGGCGGAATTTTTCCCTCGCGCTGTGGGTCCCCCTAGCTGCGGAACGCCCCCTCTACTCGGAGCTAAAGAATACTCTCCGAGGGTTAGCCCCGCGTACCAGGTTTCCCCTTAACTGCAAGGACGCCCCCTCTACTCGGAGCTAGTGATACGTGATACGGGAATACGTACCGCCCCCACGCAGTACCTACACTAATCGACGAGAATACAAGAATACGCAGCTGCGAGACGCCTTACTCGAAGATAATACGAGAATACGCAGCTGCGAGGCACCTGTCGAGCAGCTTCCACGGCGAGCAGCTTACTTGAGGCGGCGAGGGAGGAGGCGAAGGCGAGGGAGGAGGAGGCGGCGAGGGAGGAGACGGCAAGGGAGGAGGCGGCGAGCGAGGAGGAAGCGAGGGAGGAGGCGGTGAGGGGGGGGGCGGCGAGGGAGGAGGTGGCAAGGGAGGAGGCGGCAAGGGGAAAGGCGGCGAGGGAGGCGGCGGCGAGGGAGGAGGCGGCGAGGGAGGAGGAGGTAGAGGAGGCGGCGAGGGGGGAGGAGACGAGAGAGGAGGAAGCGAGGGAGGAGGCGGCGGGGAAGGAGGCGAGAGGGGAGGCGGTGAGGGAGGAGGCGGCAAGGGATGAGGCGGCAGGGGAGGAAGCGGCGAGGGAGGAGATGGCGAGGGAGGGGGCGGCGAGGACGGCAAGGGATGAGGCGGCGAAGGAGGAGGCGGCGAGGGAGGAGGCGGCAAGGGGAGAAACGGCGAGGGAGGAGGTGGCGAGGGAGGGGGTGGCGAGGGAGGGGGTGGTGAGGGAGGAGACGGCTAGGGAGGAGGTGGCGAGGGAGGGGGGGGGGGAGGGGGGGGGGAGGGACGGGGTATCAGGGGAGCAAGGTAGGGGATGGCGGAGGAGGCGGAGGCTGGTAACGAGGCCGCGGGGGTTGGCACGGACGCCGCAAAGATGAAGAGGGGGGAGGGGGGGGGGAATGAGAGAGAAGGAGAGGAAGAATGGGAGAGAGAGAGAGAGAGGGGTAGGATGGGAGGGAGAGAGAGAGGGGGAAAGGGAGGGTTTGGAATCTCCGACTCCCGGGTGGAGACACTGCCCTTTCCAGTCATCCCCTCTTTTTCCATCAAGCTGCGTAAATTCGTTATTCGGACTTCCATGTTCGCGCTCTTTCTCGTGTCTGTTGTGGCAGAGGAGCGGCGTCCGGTCCGCTGGGGCATTCTCGGCACGGGCAGCATCGCCTCCGACTTTGGCCGCGTCCTCACCTCCATGCGAGGCGACGCCGAAGTCGTCGCCGTTGGCTCGCGGAGCGGGGATCGCGCGGCGGCGTTTGCGGCGGAGCTCGGGCTAGTGGGCGCGTGTGCGCACGGCTCGTACGAGGCGCTGGTTGCCGACCCCGCCGTCGACGTGGTGTACGTCGCGACGCCGTCGACGCGCCACGTCTCCGACTCGCTGCTCTGCCTGCGTGCGGGCAAGGCGGTTCTCTGCGAGAAGAGCATGGCGCCGACGGCGGCAGAGGCGGCGGAGGTGCTCGCGCTCGCGCGGGAGCGCGGGCTCTTCTTCCTGCACGGCGTGTGGAGCCGCTTCTTCCCGGCGATGCGGGCGCTGCGCGAGCTGCTCTCCTCCGGCGCCCTCCTAGACGCTCCCGAGCCAATTCCGACATACCTCCGACACACCTCCGACACACTCCTCCGACACTCCTCCGAGACACCTCCGACACACCTCCGACACACCTCCGAGACACCTCCGACACTCCTCCGAGACTCCTCCGACACACCTCCGAGACTCCTCCGAGCCCCGTCGTCAGGCGCCATCGGAGACGTGACGTCTGCCCACGTCTCCTTTTGCCAGAACGACGGCGCCGGCTCCTGCTCCGCCCTCGCCGAGATTAGACCCGAGATGATACCCGAGAGTATCCCCGAGGTTAGGCGCCGGCTCCTGCTCCGCCCTCGCCGAGACGGGCGTCTACTGCGCGCAGTCCCTCTCTGCGAGTCGCGGACGAGATGACGCGAGATGACGCGAGATGACGCGAGATGACGCGAGATCTAGGCGCCCAGTTCCTCTCGTGGGTCTTTGGCGGCGAGGAGGTGCGGCACACCTGTTCACAGCTAGGTGTGTGAAGAGACGCTGTTCACAGCTAGTTTGGCGGCGAGGAGGTGCGGCACACCTGTTCACAGCTAGAGGTGTGAAGAGACGCTGTTCACAGCTAGTTTGGCGGCGAGGAGGTGCGGCACACCTGTTCACAGCTAGGTGTGTGAAGAGACGCTGTTCACAGCTAGTTTGGCGGCGAGGAGGTGCGGCACACCTGTTCACAGCTAGGTGTGTGAAGAGACGCGGTTCACAGCTAGTTTGGCGGCGAGGAGGTGCGGCACACCTGTTCACAGCTATGGGTGTGAAGAGACGCTGTTCACAGCTAGGCGTGCACGGAGTTGTGGTATGGCACCTGTTCACAGCTAGAGGTGTGTAGAGACGCTGTTCACAGCTAGTTTGGCGGCGAGGAGCCCGCTGTGTCGTCTAGACGTGGAGACGCGAGGGACTAGCCTGGCCCTTGCCCCACCACCCTTCTGTGTGTGTGGAGAAGTTCACCTGACCTTCTCTTTCCTGAGGCCGCCGTCGTAGGCGCCGTCACGGAACGTGACCGGGTACGCCCCCCC